CCTATAGCAGCCCACAATGGCAACCCTCGGTGCTGACCCATGTCTAACACTGAGGCCGAATGTGTTGGAATTTACACATGGTCTTTTAGGGAAACCTAAAAGTTGGACATACTGGGAATTGAACTCCAGTCTTCTGGATCGCGAACTCAGTGTGCACAGCCATTACACCATATGCCCTGTTAGGCTGAGGTGGTTATTTCAACATATAAGATGAAATGTTGGACTAGTGATGTTGTCGCTCAGTCCCATTGTACATGAACTAAAGGTATATTAGAATAATCACCTAGCGATGTTGTCGCTGGTGTACAAATATTAGATACACATTTTATGGATGATGAACAAGAGATAACCAACACACCTCAGTCCCATTGTGTCAGGGCACATACCCTGACTTAGCCCGGACCCGGACCCGCATCCGGACCCACTCCACTTCCCATGCACTTCCTGCACCGCACGCTCTGCACACTGCATGATCCGACCCCGGATCCCACCTCATGTGACTTCTGGGTATCCCCGGAAGTTTTTGCCATATTGGGGCCACTGTGGGAAAGTGAGAAGTTAACCTTCTTCTCACTTTCTTACCCACAGTAGGTGTCATATCCATACAATCCCGACCTCTGCTCCGGGCTCCCGGAACTCCGAACCTGACTTCCGGAGTCCTACTTCCCTTCCGTCACCTCCTCCTTGCCGACTCCCAAGAGGTTATCCCACCTCCAGCTCTGACACCACCTTCGGTCCGACTCCGGAACATTCCGGGTCCGACCCCAACCTCGACACCTTCCAGACAAGTACGCAAAACCTATGCTCCCGACTCCGGACCTCCGCTCCGGAATCCCGTTCGCGTCTCCGTCTCCGGAACCCCGGTCTTAGCTCCGACCTCGGACTTTGACCCCACCTCCGCTTATACCCATTGTATTGGTTAGCTCATTCCATTTAATTGCCTTTGCCAATATTCCGGAGTTTAACTTCCGAGTTCGGACTTTCCGGACTTACCTCGGACCTTGCAACTATTGCATTGTCCTATTCAATTCTGCTATTCTCCCTCACTCCTATTTGGGCTGCTGCTTCCTTTCTATTCAGTCAGCTAGCCATTCCCCACTCCCATCCTCCTTCCTTCCTCCTTGGGCCTTGGCCCTTCATTCCTCCTTTGAGAAACACCATTGAGTGAAACCCTTGACCCTCGGTGTTGTTCCTCTTTCCATCTCCCTTTGTCTCCTTTTGTCCTACCCTCGCTCCTTTTGATTCCGGACCCCTCCTTATATACAATGTACATAGTAACTTGTAACCTCAGTCCGAAATCGACATGAATTCCCCCCAAGAGACTTTCTCTGCTAGATCCGAAATTAGGGACCCCTAGGACAACCAGCAATGGCACAGCGCTCTGCCTGAGTCGCTGAGGCCGAGGTCCTTCCACGCTAAGTCTCCAATTCCATTCCGGAGTCGTCCGAGTCCGCCCGATTCTAACAGTATTTCGGACTGCATGTTGCTGTTGTCCAGCTCCGACTTCTAGCACCTGGCGTCCGACTGCGATTCCACCTTCCGCAGTCGACCGCACCCTCTGCTCTGGCTTCGGGTAAGCCACCAGCACCTCCCAGCCACTTTGGGCGCCCCTTCCGAAGTCCTGGAAGCGGGTTGACTAGGCACCACTACTCCTTTCTTTCTAGGTGGTGCTTGCAGCGTCGTCCTTCCCCCTTTAGGTCCCTGGAAGCACCCTCCATCCACCCATCCTAGGTTCCCTTGCAGTCCATCACTTCCATCAGCGATCTGATCCTTTTCTACATCTGCCCACTGATGATTGCACCTACCCGGAACCTCCGACCTCACCTTCCGCTTCCATACCACTTCACCCTGAGGCATCTGAGATGCACTCGGACCCCTCTTAGGTCATCACACATCGACCTACCCCACTCTCCTTACCCTCGGTTCCTGGAGTTACCCTCCGGACCACACCCCCTGATGGATGCAACATACCCAACTCCCTTGCTACCATCTCCTGCGAGACTCTCGCACCTCCGACTTCAACTCCGCCTACCTCTCATACACCCCTATCCCCGGTTATCAAGGCCCATCCTTCGGTAACACCTCCGATTGGATCTGCGGTTAAGTCCGGCCCCTTTGGCTGTTGATTTACTTCAAGTCCTTGTTCTCTGTTAGAACGGGGCGGAAACAGACGACTCCGGAGTGGAATCGGAGACTTAGCATGGAGGGACCTTGGCCTCAGCGACTCAAGCGGAGCGCTGTGCCATTGCTGTTTGTCCATTTGGTCCTTAATTTCACAGTAGGTGAGCAGGAAGTCTCTAGGGGGCATTTCAGGTCGATTTCGGACTGAAACCAGACGAGTATGTACAAGCGCCGATATATATAAAGAAGGGGCAAAAGCACAAGGAGAACAAAGGGTGACCGAATCGGAACGAAGACGTCCGAACGGGAACAAAGGGTAGAGGGAGCGGAGCGGTACCGAAGGTCATAGGGCAAGACCTGTGATACGTCCGAAAGGAGGTAGAGAGGGCGAGGCCCAGAGGGGCAGGAGGATGAGGGGAAGTGGGGGTGATGACTAACTGGCTAGAATAGAAAGAAGCAGTAGTCCAAATAGGGATGAGGGGAAATTGCGAGAAATACATTACAAACGGCGAGAGTGCCGGAGGCGGTCCGCGAAGCTTGGGGGTTGCGGAGGTTACGGAGGTTACGGAGGTGGGGTTGGAAGTCCGAGGAATATTGGCAATGGTGTTTACGTAGTATGAGGTCACCAATGCAATGGACTAAGACCGAGGTGGAGTCAAAGTCCAAGGTAGGGACTATGACGGAGGCTCGGAGTAAGGTACGAACGGTGTCCGAGTGCGAAGTACGGAACAGCGGTGGACGGTCGTAACTTGGCGGAAGGGTGGCGGAGGAGTAACGGAAGGAGGAGAGAGGGGACAGGTAAGGAAGAGGGAGTGGCGGAAAGGAGAGTAGTCAGGTCCGAAGGTGAGTATCGGAACGGACGGGGGAAGCGTAGGGGGATGACGGGAGGGTGGAGGTGTTGTGAGGGGGGAGCGGAGTTGTAGGAAGGGTGGCGAGTGGGGCGATGTTCGGTCCGAGATGAGTATCGGAGCGGACAGAGAAAGGGTCGGAGAGGTAAGAGGAGGGGTGTGTTGCCAAGACCGAAGGTGAGTATCGGAACGGCAGCGGTAGGTTATGACTCCGGAGGTGAAGAGGGTGGAGGTCCGGAAGTCGGGTCGGGGTCGGGTATGCACGGATATGACAGAGTACCAGTGTGTCCTAGACATTAGACAAGGTCCATTTGACAAAAGTGATGTAAGAACATCTTCGGAATTGATGAGGGAAGGTATGTGTCAACCAGCGGTGTGAGGTCCGAAGGCTAACGGAAGAGTAAGTGGAGGTGGATGAGTTGGGTTGTGGGTTCTGGAGGTCTGGACAAGGTAAGCTCAAGACTATCGCTCAACGGAGCGCATAGGAGAGACAAGTTATGCCATGAGACATCAGAACCAACAAGCCAAGTCAGCCAGGGTGGCGTAGAAACGTCATCGGAAGAGTGGAGGACGAAGTATCAACCATCGGGATGAGGTCCGAAGGAAGATGGGGGCCAGATGGGAAGGAAGCGGAGCATGGCTCGCTATCCTGGAGTAGAGTGCTCAGCATTACTGATGGAATGCCAGGCAGTGGGGAGTGCAACGGGGAATCGGGTGGAAGCGTCTTCCATAGGACAAGGAGCCCAAGTGGAGACTGGGGGGGTGATCACGGAAAGGCAGACTGGGTTGTTCCAAAGCACAGACTAGGTAACTGCTCTTAAACCCCTCGATCAACGGATCGAAATTGGGCGAGTCAGTAGGTGTCCCAGAACTTAAGGGACAAGGACCATCTATGAATGACGAAAGTTCATCCAGGTTGATTCAGACCGAAGCGAAGTGGATGGGGTGAGCCGAAGGCCTGTGTACTGGTGTGCCAGCAGTGCCTAATCGACAGTGGGGTGATGACCAGCAAGGAGCCGGTGCATCGGAAGGTGATGGGTGTCAAGGACCGAAGGGTCCGAGACAGAAGAGGTGAGGTCCGGAAGGACCGAGAATTCTAGAATAAACAGAAGACATATTAAAGGAGGAACCGAAAGTTAGAACCAAAACGGAAATAACAAAGCAGAGGAAACAGATCTAAATATGAGTCGGAGAGTCGGAGTTATGAGTACAGAAGGCAGGAATTGATGATATATGACAAGGAGGGAAGTGATAGTGGAGGAACGAGATGTTTTGTTTGGTTTTATACTTAGAGACGAGAAATATAGACCATTAAACAAACAAAAAAGGAAACCGAAGAGAGGAAACAAGAGAAAGAGGGAGCAGACTATTTGTGTGTCTCCGAAGAGACTTCCGGTTTGATTTCCGGAGTCGCAGACCTTGGTTGCTCAACCCGAAGGTGCGGGAGAATGTCATATCCGTGCATACCCGACCCCGACCCGACTTCCGGACCTCCGCCCTCTTCACCTCCGGAGTCATAACCTACCGCTGCCGTTCCGATACTCACGTTCGGTCCTGGCAACACACCTCCTCCTTACCTCCCCGACCCTATCTCCGACCTGAAATGCCCCCTAGAGACTTCCTGCTCACCTACTGTGAAATTAAGGACCAAATGGACGAACAGCAATGGCACAGCGCTCCGCTTGAGTCGCTGAGGCCAAGGTCCCTCCATGCTAAGTCTCCGATTCCACTCCGGAGTCGTCTGTTTCCGCCCAGTTCTAACAACAGGGCTGGTTACACCACAGGCTGTGGACCATAGGGGAGGGTCATGGGGACCCGGGAGTCGTCCCCTGACACCATCACAATGAATGCATCCCAAATGATGAAGAAAAAACATAATGCACCCAGAGAGTGCAGTGACAATGATTAGTGGTAAATAGGCAACTTGGGTGATGGCTTGGTCAGACTGGTGTGTTCCAGTTGTATTGAAGTAAATAGGTGACCAAACTCCATGCACCATTCCAGAATCATGGAGCAGTGTCCTTCGCCAATTCATAACCAAGACACCATAAGGCAGAATACAAGCTGAGTTGGGTCTCTAATCTTGAGAGGCTCAAAGACTGGTTGTGGGGGCATAGTGAAGTTGAGATGGGATCCAAAGGTGTAGGTTGCACCAGTGACCACTGTAATCCCATGGAGGTCATGTACAGCATGTAGCTGAAATATTTTTCCACATGGCCCACTGGACTTGACTTGCGCTCAAAAGGCATATCAATGACCCTTGGTTGGGAATTGTATCTATGTTTACCCAGGATTTCCACCAGTTTGTGGTTGGACCCTGACACACATGTGGTTAGATTTTGTGTGTACATTGCACATCCAATTGGCCATATATTGAATGTTATGTTGATGGGTTCCAAGGTGATATTGGACTTGCCTTGATAAAAGAGAAGAGTCAGCATATCACAACCCATATGATGGAATGACACACTTGTGTAAACTTGGACCTCTTTTGTGAGATGCACAGGGGAGCCTTGCCTTCCACCACTCAAGATATAGTCCTTTGTGGTCACAAGTGCTGTTGCAAAAGCACCAGTCTGGGAGGCCTCAGCTGGGGAAGATAAATCTAGAAGCATGTCATTAACTTGATGGTCCAAACATCCATTAGATAGTTGAAATCAGCAATTTGTAGGTGCAACCAAGGACACAAATGCAAATGTGAAACATGTACACCAGAATTGGGGTGGTGCAAATGAAATTGATATCTCATGGCCAAAAATGGGATTTGGGGTTCCATAGAGCACTGTGGTACCAGGAATAGGGGTGAACCTGGGTCGCACATGGAATGATATAGTTCCGCTGTCTGGATAATCATTTATTGACCCTGCAAAACCACAAGTGAGAATCAACCAGATATCTGAGCATTAAATGATGTACCCAGTGAGTAGGAGAAATCAAAAGAATCGCCAGAAGCACGAGGAATGATTCCACATCTTACACTCAAGTTGAGGGCAGTGTGATCTTCAAACTCCACACCTTCCATTTTTTGATCCTTGTACCGAAAAGAATTCTGAGCAAAATCTAAGCAAACAGCAGCCTAAAACCCCAAAAATGCAACATACGTATCATTTACTCCAACAAGGTCCCTGACAACAATGGATTTCCCCTGGCTGTATAGATAATGAGTCATGGTATATGACAGAGCATCCTGGGAATAGATCCAGTGGCTATGGTCCTCCATGGTGCTCATGATGTTGCCTGGCATGGAGTTGACAGTTACTAGCACCCTCTGTTTCACAGTTACCACCTTCACTGAGAACAAAGAGGGTGTGGCTATTTGGAACACAAAGATAGAACTGTAAAAAAAGAGAGCATGAAATAATTGAAGGCGGATGGGGAAAGTGTTGTTTCTACTATGCCAAATAGCACGAAGTGATGACCCAAGGCCTCGCCAGGCTTCAACATTGTCATGAAGCACAATGCAAGGAGAGCTGTTACAACAAGTTGTGAGACAAATGACAAATTTTGTGTTGCAGTTTTGATGTGCTCAATGCCAAATTACCGATGTTCCAGAAAGGAAGAGAAGACCAAGAAGTCAAGGACACCAAGGAAAGCTAATAGACCTCCAGAAGCAAGGGCACATGCTACTGCATGAAGTCGTAGGGCCTTGGGAATGGCCATGTTTGTTGATGTGTTCAACACCCAGAAGCAGCCTGAGATTGGTGAGGCTGCTCATAGCTCCAGACTTATGAAGGTGAGGATTGGAAAAGGGATCTTGCTGATCAGATGGTAACAATGTGATGATGGTGATGGCAAGAGCTCGAAGTTTAAGCCACACAATGCACCAACAAAAGAACAAATTGCAGGATTCAAGTGAGGAAGCCACCAGCGATTCTCAGTGTGGTAAGCCTCCAAATAGTTCAAAGCTTGCCAACAACAGATCATCATAATAACCTATTGCCTCCTGGTCACTCACCACAGTGGAAATTTATGTGCCACTTTGGGTCCCTGTAGTAACCGAGCTGGTAGCACATTTGCTAGGCATAAACCGCACACAGTGACGATTCCATTGTGGCATAGGGCAGTGCACTCCATCAGCAATTTTTGATATCCTCACACACATACAAACACTGCTGTATGTTCTTGAGAAAACAGGAGATGGTGGCTGGAGTTTATTGGCTGGAAATATGCACTTGTCAAGACACTTCCTTTCATCCCTGCCCCAGGCTTCCTGGATCCTCAAGTTGGAATGTAATCTTGCAACTAGGAGACCAGCATGACTACACAATGGCAGCAGGGTTAATGTGCCAGTTGAAGGTTGTTGAGGATCTACAGTCAGGGCATTGCATAATTGGGAACTGGACTGGTCATACTGTGAATGAGTGAATTTTTTTTTTGACCTTGATGCCACCAGCATCACAGAACAACTTTGGATGGAAATCAGAACAGTGGGCAGTGAATCCACATACTAAAAACCTCCAGTTTGTTGAAGTTGGGATACATCATGATGCTTAGATAGAAATGGCAGTGACTGGATTTGGAGGTTCTGTACACATGCTGGGTGTCATATCCATCCCCGGCCATCGACTTCCACTCCCTCCGATCCCTCCGGTCTACCTCCACTCCTTCTTCACTAACTGTCAGAGACCAGACTCGAGACGAGGGAATGTCTCCGTAACGGAGGGCTTCGGCCTCAGCGACTTCTTCCAAGAGCGCTGTGTCTAGTGACATGTCCGTGCCCTAACTTACTGACTGGCACTTAGAACCTAGGGGGGGTAACTCTCGTTGATTTTTCTACTAGGGCGTAACCTATGTACAAGTGGGATATATATATGGTTACAGCAGGGACGGTTCCGCAATTGGCGGAGCCAACGGAGCGGAGCTAATGGGGTTTAACCATTAGCCGACTGAATATTACCGACGAGTCGGTTCGTGGGGTTAGCGGAAAGGCAGGCGTTAACCCAGAAACGGAAAGGAGGGATAGGCCCGAAGGTGGGCTCTGCAGGGCAGGCGAGTGTATTGCCCAGCGGAGGCGGGGGTGCACTAGCGGACGTCGGAGCTGTCCGGAAGTCTTCGGGGCTCCATCCTTAGGGAGGCATAGGTAATAAATTGAAATGAGGGGGTGGTGACCATCGAGGGGTACCGAGAGGTTTGTGGAATACGGGGGCTCCGAGGTTGGTGAGAGAGGAGCGGAGTAGAATGGAGGGAACGGAGGGACCGGAAGTCGATGGCCGGGGATGGATATGACACTAACCTCAGAGCTCCCATATTCCGCAATCACCTCAGTACCCCTCGATGATCACCACCCCCTCCTTTCAATTTATTGCCTATGCCTCCCTAAGTATGGAGCCCCGAAGGCTTCCAGACAGCTCCGACGTCCGCTAGCACACTCCCACCTCCGCTGGGCAATACATTTGCTTGCCCTGCAAGCCCACCTTCGGGCCTATCTGTGAGGTCTCTGGGTAGCTCAGCACACAAGGCTGTAAGTGATACAAGTATGTGTATTTTACAGTGGTGTGTAAGCAGTTACCCGGAGGTTCCCGCTTACCCACGTGACTATATGTATCTAATTACATGTGGCTCGGGGTTCGGGGCTATTGCCCTGACATTCTCCCCCCTTGCGTTGCATTTGCGATGCATACAAGGTTGATAGTGAATAAAACAAAGTTTTAATAATTGATTTACATTGAGTTTGAAATTATCAATGAGTGTTTTGTTGTCGCCACTTTAAAGTGGGCGATTTTTGTACATGTCGGTGAAGGAGAGAGAAAGGGTTTAAGGAATAAGTGAGTGTGGGCTGTCACTTTGAAGTGAACAGTGATACATGGGTATTGCAGGGAGAAAAGTAGTGGAGTTTGTCGAAAATGAATTTTGACCCAAAGGTTGTATGTCTTTGGTGTTCCTCACTTGTTCCGTGAGGGTTCGTGTGTAAGTGGTGTTTACACATGAGTGGTGGTGGATGTGGGTCTTTTGACGGAGTAGAGATTTCCGCAATTGTTACTTGTGGTTCCTCACATACAGTATTGTGTGCGGGGCCTCGAGTTGGGGGAAGGTGTTTTCATGGGCGCCTCAATGGCGTATTACCATGTCACTTTCCCTTTTCTCAAGGGTGGAGTCATTGCCCTGGAGGGTTTTCCTCCGGGTTGTTCATCTGGACATCCAATTGCTGCGTCGGATGCGATGACGTAGCCTGGGCTTCATTGTCGGGCTGTGGGCTCGACAAAGTGGGTGCTCCCTGGGTGGGAGTGGGTTGTTGTGTTCCTGAGCTACTTGGCTCAGGTGTGGAGTATGGTAGGTCTACCGTTCTTCCCATGGGGAAGGGTGGTTGTTGGGCTGGTTGTCCAGCATGGAGACTTGCATCTCTTTCCCGGTATTTGGAAGCTTTCGCTTCCCATTCCACAGTTCTTGCGGCACGTTCCTCAGGAGTCCTGAGTGGTTTGAACTGGGACTTTAGATAGGCAGCTTTGCCTAGACTTTCCCAGGAGATTTTTCCCTTGTTCTCTGGGGAATTATACTCCTCTGCGAGTCTTGCAATACTCGGGAGTCCCAAGAAGTATTTCTCGGTTTCCTTCGCTTTTTCGCAAAGGGTTCTGTGTACCTTGCCGCTTTTGAAGGCAGCTTCGGCCTGTTCATACCAGTGTACGAATTCTTTCCCACTCATGCTTGTCCACCAAGTGTATGCGGCGTCGTGTGCTGCTTCTGACCCCGCTATTCTCCTCATGGGGAAGTTGGGGTTGATTGTTACGTCGACTGGAGCTTCAACTTTGCCAAACTCATTGAGTTCAGTGGTCTCGTATAGCATGTGGACACTTCCCTGCAGGGTAGCTTGCCCATAGGGTGCTGAGGTACTCAGCGGCCTGCCGCCTCTGGCAGTGGTCCTTGTTTTAGGGTCTGCTGTCGGTTGCCTACCGCTCTCCCTCTTCCCCTCAACATGGGTTTGCCCTTCTGAGGGCGGGCCCTTATGCAACCCGGACAGGGTCGCCTGCCCACAGGGTGGCGGGATAGTCGGTGCCCCACCCCTTGATGCGCTAGTCCCCATGTGGGGTCGCACCTCATGAGGCCCGGAACTGTATCCCCTCCCCCTGACCTGGGAGGCCCCTGTCACAATGGGTTTGGCAGCGAGGTCTGCCAGTGCACGTGCCTCTCTGAGCTCGCATTTCAGTAATTCGATCTCCCTTTTTTTGGAGATCGACCTCTCTCTCTGTGTCTTTCAGAGAGTCAAAGATGCCCTCAGCATCTCTTTGTGCTCTGTTGTATTCGTGCCTCCAGTGGGCGCAATGGTCGCAGGCATCTTCTGATGCCCTCGAGTTATCAGACCATGCCCATTTGGATGGTCTGGATGAGGAGCCGCTGTCGCTCCCTCGTCTCCCTCCTTCATCTCTTTCAGCTCCTTGCGGAGCTGACCTGTCTGAGCAGCTACCGCTGATGTGATGGCTGATTCCCAGCCTGCATTTGGCTGGGGTGTTGTTGGACCTGGGCTGAATTGGCCAATCCAGGGGTTGATCTGGCCAGGGAAGTTCCCTGGGGAGTATGCCTGGGGCTGCAGCAGCAAATGCTGCCCCTGGAATGGCGCTTGTTGCGCCATTGGTGCAGTTTGCACCGCATATGGTTGGAAGCCCCTCTGAGGAGGCTGGGGGTATGCAGTGCCTGTTAGCAATGGGGGTGGTTGTTGGTTCGTGGCACTCATTTGTGCTGCGTGCATCGTGTAGTCCATGGCGCTTATCTGCGCCTGGTGTTGTTGTTGTTCCAGGGAGCCTTGCTCCCTGGGTTGTCATATTTCGATGTCCGGTGGCTTGTTTGGATCGAACCAAGGGTTGCCTCCCCTAGAGAATGATATTTCATCGTTATGTTTCTCGTGGTGGTGGGAGGGGTGTTCATTCTTGCGTGTGTGGGATTCGCTGCAGTTGTGTGTTCTTTTGCACATGAGCCTGTGGTTCACATGGTCTAGGCAAGTTACTCGCCTGGCCCATGTGATCTCTAGTACATGGTGTGGCTGTCCAGGCGAGTTACTCGCCCAGAACTTTCCCACGCTCTTGGCTGTGGGCCATCATCCCTCGGCTTTACTTCCTCTGCCTCCGTTTTTGGGGGCGTAGTGATGCCGAGAGTTCCCTGTCTTCTTTGATAGGGAGTTTTTCTGGTTCCCTTACATTTTGTAAGGTGAGGTACTCGTCCAGGTGGATGAGGTCGTTGCAATTTCCTAGGGGTTCCCATGTGGTGTCCCCTAGTTCCCATTTGACCATAAACCAGAGTTCATTGTGAACCCACACGTTATTGTAAACCAAGCTCTCACAACCTCTGCCACATTATCTATAGAATCATCCCTATGCTGACCCCCTATGCTGCACCCAAAACCTATGGAAATGGACCAATTCAGCCCCACTGTTCTAACATTTATACAGACTCCTGTTGTCGGAGACTGGATTCGAAAGGGAGGTATGACTCAGTGTTCAGAGGGCTTTGGTGTTAGAACTGGGCGAGGGCAGATGATTCCAGAGGGGAACTGGAGACTTAGCAAGGAGGGACCTTGTGTCAGGGCACACCTGCCTGACCCCGCTCCACCCAGCCCAACCTGACCCAATACCCTGCTATCCACCCCTCCTCACCTCCTCCCCCTTTTCCCTCCTCTCTCCTCATCCATGCTTCCTCACCTTCCCCCTATCTTACTTCTTTATTTTCTCTTT